TTTCATGCAAAAGGGAACAGTACTATGGGGAAGATTTTCTGGTGAGTACACTGCTGCATGAGAAATCACTTCCAGTCTCATGTACCCATTTTGATACAGCAATTCTTTGTGTGAACGCTACCTACAAGAAGCTAAAAATCTTTCTAAATCCATATCACAACTGTTAAATCATGCAGTTGCTGATGCAAAGCAAACACTTTGCTGGGCCTTTTTTTCTTCTTCTTTCTCTTGGATATGCATATTGTAATCTTTGACAGCCCTGTGGACAAGCTACTGTATTCATAACCTTATGTACCAGATTTTTGTAACTATATATGAAAAGCTTGATGAATGATATCTCCTCTCTTTGGGGTGGGGTGGGGGGTTGGGTATGGGAGAAATAATAAAAAATAAAAACAAATTACACTATAACAAAACCTTTTAAACTGTACATTCAAGGCACTACATCAGAACTAAAGTTTTATTACCACTGTGGTAAAGTTTTCCCTTCATATCTTAATCTAACCTTTCAAGTCATGTGTAAGACTTCTAAGATTTTGATTATCTAGTTCTAACATCAAATAAGTACCACATATTTCCAATTCACTATTTCAGTTTCTCCATATAATTTGCTGTCATGTATACACACAAACAATTTGGAATGAGTAAGCCACTACACTTTGTTTTGATTTGTGTGGTCCTACTATGAAGGTACCATTTCTTAATTGTTAGACCATTACCAAGCACTCCCTCAGTGTAATCAAATCAACAAAACGTTTTACAGTAACAATTGCTAGGAATATCGCTTCTGAGACAGAGTCTACCGTAGTTTCCTTTCTATAGTGTAACAGGAAAGAGATTACGTCTTGTAGTTTCCTCTTTACAAATGTCTGTCACTGAGCCACGACTTCAGCCTAGCCAACACCACACCACAAGCACCAATATCAAATCAAGGTGGATAGCATGAGCAATCAATTAAGTACACATGACTTCACTCCAGTATAAATGATATATATACCAATGGAAAAAACAAAAAAAAAATCACACATACATATCTACTGAACTTCAATGCTTAAACTGTAATGAAAAGCTAAACTTCTATGATGAATATTGAGTACAACACAATCAGACAAGGGCATGCAGGTAATACAAACACACACACACATATGTATGTATGTAATTATGTATATTATATATATATATATATATATATATATATATATATATATATATAATATATATATATATGTATATATATACATATGTATACATATATACATATATATATATATATATATATATATATATATATATATATATATATATATATACATATACATATACATATATATATACATGTATATATATATATAGTATATATATATATATATATATATATATATATATATATATATATATATATATAGTATATTATATATATATATATATATATATATATATATATATATGTATATATATATATATATATATATATATATATATATATATATATATAATATATATATATATATGTATGTATATATATATATATATATATATGTATATATTATATATATATATATATATATATATATATATATATATATATATGTATATATATATGTATATATATATGTATATAATATATGTATATATATATATATATATAATATATATATATATATATATATTATATATATATATATATATATATATATATATATATATATATATATGTATATATATATATATATATATATATATATATATATATATATATATATATTATATATATATATATATATATATATATATATATATATATATATATATATATATATATATATATATAATATATATATATATATATATGTATGTATGTGTATGTGTAATGTGTATGTGTATGTGTATATGTATATATATGTATATGTATATGTATATGTATATGTATATGTATATAATATTATATATATATATATATATATATATATATATATATATATATATATATATATATATACATATACATATACAATGTATATATATATATATATATATATATATATATATATATATATATATATATATATATATATATATATATATATATAACACACACATATATGTATACATATATGACAAGAATTTAAATCACAAAAAATGTCGGTAACATAGTAATATCAAGTAATACAAAATTATACATAGCATATAACCCGTTAGAAAATTCTTTGTTATTTCAAACTACAGTACGCACATCACTGTGGGTCAACAGCAGATACAACTGACCTACATTTTCTTCTATATCAGATACCCAGAGCATGAACTCCACATTTACCCTTGATATATATAATGGTCTGCTCCCAACACCGTCAAGGATTAAAGTATGATATACAGATAAATGGAATCTGACCAAATTATATTCAATGCTGTTAATAGAAGCTAGACTCAAATCCTGCATACATGGAAGAAAGTTCATAAGCTTAGTTGTGAAGATCTTACAAACTAGAGGGAATGGTTTCTTTCCTTTCTCTTACCTCTCACAAGAAGTAATCTCTGATATTTCTTCGTATAACGAGTTTCATAATGTAAGGAAACAAGAAGTGACAAAAAGAACAAGGAAAAAATAAGTGCACACAAGACAAACCTACACTATTCTTTTTTAAAAAATCAGACATCACACTTATAACTATTTTGTAAAGCTTGAGCTGTGAAACATTCCTCCATTCACTCACTCTCTAACCTTCACACATTTAAACAACAGCCAGAAAAAAATTAAACCCAAATCAAAACAGAGAAACAAACACTCTTGTAAGTGTACAATACTTTCTAAATTCACTTACACAGACAGACACACACAAACACACAAAGCACAGACAAACATGGGCATATAAAAATGCTAATTCTCCTTCTTTACTGTCAAGAATCAAGTACTTCCATGATCTTTTCAAATCTACTGTAATTTTACCCACCAGTTTTAAAACAGTCTACCTCAACTTTTTTTCTCCTCACCTGTCAAATGTCTCCTTTTGTATTGGCAATAATTGTTTTATTTAAGAATAGACACCAACCTTCTCTGCTTTTTTTCTCTTTTCCTTGTTTAACTCTCAAAAGCACCACAGAATATACCAGTCATCGTGCACTTAAACAGCAGTTCCCTTCCTCAATCATCCGGAAATTTCCTTGTATCCAGTAGACACACAAGTGCACCCTGTTCTTAGACCTTTTAAAAAGTTTATATGTCACATTTACTTTACTTGAATAACATTTAAAACATGACCTTCCTCTGATTACAACCAAGTACAAAAGCCATGAAATATACATTTCGTATGGCTGCCTGACTTATCAACACTTTAAGCCCATTCTAGGGACAGTTCCACGATTTCAACTTGTAATGCTAAAATGTTTGTCTTGGAGACAACTGCTTCTCTATTTCCTTATTTTTGCAAAACATACTAAGTTAAGAACAAGACATTCTATAATTTCAAAATTCTCAATCTCAGACCCATGCACTATATCACTGTTTTGCACTCTTTCCCTGCTGTTCAAATATCTATACACCCTACAGGAATTAAATAAAATAGCTAGGCATTGCAGAAAGAGAGACAGCAGCAAGCCCCTTTAAATATATATATCACTCAAATAAAGGAATTGTCATCCTATAAAATACTGATTATTACTTATCAATGCATAGTTAAATAAGTGCGAGAGCTGCTCTCTGTTTCCCTTGGGAGAACGATGAATGCTTGATGTTCACATCTTAAGAGCCAGGAAATATGATGCTTTGGACTGACACCAGGCCAGCTAAAGCTTATCATACACCTTATCAAGATCAGCTTATAGAAAATGACTAACTCCACACGACTTTATTTTTTGAAGTTTGAAAAAAATCATAAAACAGCTTTGCCTTCATAAGTTCTTTCTGTCTAACAACTCGCATGTAAATGTTTGTCTTAAACACTTACAGCCATTAAAATTAGATCTACAGCATACTGGTACTATTGAAATACTGTTACACTGCAACACTGCTGGGTACACCTTGGACATACTATAATCTGGACATGAGGTTCTCACCTGGATGTACATACAACAAACAAGGTTACATTCTAGTACTGAGCATACAGCCCTATGCTGGTTGAGTTTCCCTTAAAACAGTATAAAGAACTTATTGGCATGAACTGCATTAAGAGGACAGAGTTAATCACTGACTGCGCAAAGATTTCACACTGTCCTGTCATGCACTGCAAAGAATGGACTAACACAGCTATCATAAAAATTCTCTCTTTATACACACATTCATAAAAACTGTCCTGAGCCACTAAGAAGACTGGAATTTAGTCCTTAAAATATCATCAGCATTTCAGTAATGGACTAAAGCCACAATTTTTAGGCCTTTTGAGGGCTAGATTTCACCATAAATATCATATCTGCTGCGATCACAAAAACATGGAGCATTCCTTGCATGAAATTAAACCTTTTTCTCCTGCCTGGTGCATTGTAATACAGCCAATTGCGGACAACCTTAGAACAATCTGTATATGTTTGCACATGAGTGCAGTCTAGCCGATAAAAGTCTTAAAACAAGGCTCTAAATATATGAATACTAAACAAAATATGATAAAAATTTTCACTGAAAGTTCACTGGAGTTCCTTATCATTATGACAAATACTGCAAGTTTTTTTGGGATAAGTGATTCCCTCATCCTTGTATTCAGGAGATTCAACATTTCAAAAGTAGTATAGTTTCTTAATTAAAGCAGTGGGTTTTACCTCTCACTTTCTTTCAACACAGATAATATAGAATTTGTGTGCTTCCTATCAATTTCATCAGCAGAATGGCTGTTTACACATCTGAAAATTTTCTCTTTACTTTATTCTTTAAAATAATTTTTTTCCAACAGCAATAACCTTTTTCTATAATTTGCAAATTAAAACTTCCAAAACGTGTGTGCTGGTTGTGAATGATAAGCTTTTAGCAATAATATATAACCTTTTTGTATTTATCAGTACATATATTTTTTTTC